CCGGCGCCTTGGCTCCCGGCCAGCCGGCGCCCTCGAAAGCGAAAGCGCCGCGGTGGAACGCCGGCGAGCCGAAGGGGGGCTTCCCTTTGGGGGAAAGCGGCGGCGGGATCCGGCGGATATGTTCACATCACACCCTTCGGGTTGCAGCAGATCGATCCAGACGGGGAGCCCGTGTTAGTCTGTCCCGAGTCGGAGGAGAGAGCGGGAGTCCTCCAGTCGCACCGGAAAGACCGGCACAGGTTTTAGAACAAAGTGTGACGCTCCGGGGGCACCTTGAAGTCCAAGGAAGTTTGACTCCGGTTCCAATAACCTTGATTGGCACAGCAGGAAGTCTGAGTCACGGTAGGCGCTTCCGCGTGCGTGCGCTCTTCCTCAGATACTGGGAAGTGGCCGTGCCCACAACAGCTTCTACACAGACTTGAGCTTTGCTGGCCTGCAAGGTGCCGCCAGACTCCAGCTTCCTTCTCCTGCTTCAGACGAACACAGCTGCCCACCGGGATCTGACACAGATTTTTGTGAGTCCTTCAGGTGCAACTGGACTCTCGCTCTTTTCGGGTTGCAGGTCTGCCTTGGAAGGTGGTGTTTGGTGTCTTCCTGAGGGCCTTCACCCGGTTTCTTTCCCCGCTCAGGATCTAATGGCTCCTGCTGACCCTTCAGCGAAGAAGAGGAAGACGGGGGATCAGGCTTCAGAGTAAGAACTCCGTCTGGTGCTAGTCAGAAGGGCCAGGGGTAAATGGGAGGTGTTTGTGGGGGGTGCTAGAAGCAGCCCTTCTGTAATTTCTCCTCAACAGAGTGATGTTTCCAGCAGATGGGATGTTAGGCATTAACCATCTTGTCTTATTAAAACTTCTGCCTTTTTTCTTTCTTTCTGAGAGCCAGTTTGGTGTCGTGGTTAGGAGCGCGGACTCTAGTCTGGGAGAACCGGGTTTGATTCCCCACTCCTCCACGTGCGGCTGCTGGTGTGCCCTTGGGTCAGTCACAAGTTCTTTCACATCTGTTCTCTCAAGGGCAGTTCTCGAAAGAGCTCTCTCAGCCCCACCTACCTCACAGGGTGTCTGTTGTGGGGAGGGGAAGGGAAAGGAGATTGTA